GTTTTAACTTTGTACCTGGCAGTATTTTAGTTGTTCATTCATTTCCCCAAGATTTTTATCATATTCAGCAACTATAGGAGGTAATGAGCTAAAAGGGATGTAAAATAAAGTTCCTATATTAAGTGAACATTCAAGTGACACAATGAAGTTAAAAATAAAAAAAAATCTCATCAATGACACAAAAATGAAGCATTAGAAAAAATACTTAAGGACAGGAGCAATAATTTCAAACACACATGCATATATGGAAGCATTTTTCAAGCAATTGGTCCTTATTGTATGTTACATTTATATCCTGCTTTTCTTCTAGGGGCTCAAAAGGCATACACAGTATTCCATACTCCAATTTTTATTAGCAGTAACAATCCTAAGTGCCATTCAATGTTTTTCCAAGGCTGAAGATAAATTTGAACTTGACTCTTCTTAATCCTAATATAGCACACAGTTTAAAGCCATTACATGATTCCTGTAAGAAGTAAGAATGGGATTTCCCCACTTAGTTGTGGATTTATTTAAGTATCAGATACTCCAAAACTTCCTTGATCATTCAGTGAAACTGAAGTCAATTTCCTTCAGCTTAATTCTGAAGAAGTGGGATCTCTTACCCTATCTGGATTCCCAAGAATATGAGCAGATGGTTTTCTTCCTACTCAGGTGGTGGCAACTCAGCTTACGTACCTCAGTACCCCTTTCACCTTGGGACACATCTATATCAGACACCCCAGAACTCAGGTAGATTGGGGTAGAAAGCTAGAATCCCCAAAATAAATTTGACATAGCTGTGTTGTAAAAGTCACCCTACTACATATTATCAGTATTTTATTTGGTATATCTTGACTTATAAAATATCAAGGGATTACAAACAAGCAAACAAGAATAATTTCATTTGAAGTACCAGTTATGGATCAACAATGTTCTAATGTAAGCAACTCAGGATGCTTAACAACTAGTTATTGTAAAAATTAGATATAATTGTAAACATAGGTGAAAATGTTTAAATTCCTTTTCCTCTTGCACCAGTTGAAAAGAGATTTTATGCAAGATAATTCCTTTCCTTTCAATTTGCCCAAATAAAGGAGGGAACACAAACTGCTTTGCTTGGACTAAGAATGGTTTTATGAAGTTTTCCAGTAGAACCTTTACCCCTTACAAAATGATAACTTTTATATATTTTTTAAAAAAAATCAAACTCAATACCAGTTATGCTAATATTTTAAGACATGAAAGGAAGGAAAAGATCAAGCTGCCGAGCTCTGATGTCATAAAACATTAGCTGCAGTTTCTCATTGCTAAGGCATGGACTGCTTGTGGAATTATTTTCCAGATAAAGACTCAGGTTCTGCCAAGCATAATTATTGGCAAAATATTTAGAGACACATGGAGAGTTTTTATAAATTTGTTTATGATTGACTTAAGAGCCACTGAAATGAATAAATCAACTTTAAATTCCATTAATTTCAGCAGATCAACTATATGATTACATCTGGGTGCAATCCATAGAATCTTACTTTTTGCTTAATTACAAATCTATTTCCTCTATCCTAAGTAGAGTATATTTGTTTAAATTATGTGTACATATACAGTTTTTATACACACACACATGAACAAGATAAAAAAATAATAGATACTTCATTTGTTCATTTTGGAAGAGCATTTCCAGGCATCAACATATCTTTTTATAAGGTGTTTTGAAACTGCATTTTATACATTATTTAGAATGCCAAATTACCTTTGGTTTATCAGGATGTGCTCCCTTATACTGGCATCTTCAAAGGCATTATTCTGGAAGCAAACATTTTATTTTATTGAAGTTTATCGCTTGTCATAAAAAGATGTTTAAAAAACCCTCTAAAATTTAACTCTACAGATCCTATTTAAATCAAACTATTCACAATGTATTCTCTTGTAGGGTACATTGGTGGCCTAAAAATTTAATCAATAAATAAAAATTAAAAATAAATAAAATTCCTATGAATTCAAATTGAATTCAAAAAGCATAACCTTAGCTTTTCATATGTTATTCTGTTTTCACATTTATATATTATTTCAGTTCTTTGTTTATCTTTAGGAACTCAAAAAATCAATAACTTTAATAGAGAGTAATATTTGCCAACTGTATTACCTTATAAAAAGAATGCAACTAATTATTTACCCTAGTATTTCATTAAATGTTAAAGCCAAATGAAGGGCCATTAATTCCACTAAGGGCATTTCTATAATTTTTCTATCAGTGGCAACCAGTATCTTGTATGTTTGTATTTTATTTCATATCAGCTACTCCTTTTGATTGGTCATAAACTAGCAACTAAATTTAATTTCTACTTTGTTTGGAAATGGATAAAAGAAAAGAACTGATAGCTGGCAAAATTATAGGACTACTAGGACTGGGCTTCAAAAATCCAGATGATGACTAAAAGAAAACAAGAAGATACAGAGAGCTCTAGCCCTAAAAGGATGCCACTTACAAAAAAAATATATGGGCTCATCAGGAGCAACAGAAATGACAATTAGTGAAAGACTCACAATATGTTAAGATATACATAAAAAATGTTTATAACAAACAAAAGTACTATTGATTTCTAGTTAGGTTGGAATACCACAATGTTCTTAAATGTGCATGTTTAAAAAAAGTATCCTGAGATTGTGGCAGGATTGCTCAAATCTTGAGGAAGTGATACTGATTTACAATATTCTGTTGAAAAATGCTGCTAATGTCATTAGTACAGCCATCATCACAACAAACAATGGTTCTATATGACAAAGACTTGCTTTTTAATACTGCTCAAGGCTCAGTTAGCTGTAGTGGAAATGGCCAAATGTAACTGGCATAAATTTATTTGGTAAAAAAGCATAAATAAATGTATTCAGGCACATTACATAAACAAGCTACTTTACAGAATGTTCTTTTTCAAAAGTGAAATATAAGAACCTTATAATAGTGGATAAGCAAATTTAATTAGATGATCTGCAAGGTCCCTTGTTTATGTGATGCTTAGAATAGGTTAAAAGGTACATCAAAATAGAATCTAAAAATCATGAAATAAAGATATGAAACAATTATATACATCAATTTACATTATGCTCTAATCATACTACCCCTCCCTTTGCAGCTTCCATCAAATAATACATAAAAAGGGGTAGCCTCCAGCCCAAAAAAGGCTGATGAACTCTGATATCTAGTACCTAAACGATACAATACATTATGAATTTTAATGAAAATTTATATGGAACTTACCTTGATATCTGTTGTCATTTTAGAATCTTATTGGAATTTCATATAAAGTGTCTAGGAAGCTGATTTGCTTTTCAGGAGCAGAAACATAAAAGCTGTGAAAATAAAATAAATACAACTGGCAAACACAACTTATAATTGCTTTGAACTTTATCTTCTAAAACTAAATTCTTAGGAAGAAATACAAAACAACCTGAACAGGCTTCCATAAAGTCTGCAACATGCTGTTACACTTCAGAGTTGTAATCCTGATGTTATGGATGTCAATCATAAAATAATCAATTTGAGATATTTGAAAAGGAAAGCCTCTTATTTCCTATACATCTTAATGTCAATGTTTTTATCTTCAGATAGAAAAAATAAGATCAAATACTAATGGAAGATCTGGAATGTAAAGTTTTAATAGTTGAGTATTTCCATCATTTATATCGTACTCTTTATTTTAAAAAATAGACAAGCTTACAAAGATGATATCAATCCCTTAATTTTCAAAATGCTTAAAATACTTCTACTTTCATATATGACTGTGCAATCTTAATGTAAAGTTTAATCTCCATGTATCATACTGAAATGTCCTCAACATATTGTCTCCCCTCCAATCATTTAATGTTTTGCTTCTTGGCAAGTTAGCTTGATCTTTGAAATCCAGTATTTCTTCTCCAGCCTTATAATATCTTAGCTCACCTCTTTGGAGAGAAAGTACTTGGGATGCTTGCTGCAAGCTCATCAGAGGTCTTAAATTATCCTTCCTGAAAAGCCCAACAGGTAATATTGACTCAAAGCTCCTCTAGCAATGCTTGGACTTTGGGCTGCAGGAAAGATTTATTGTGTGCATCTTCCTGGTTCTCCTTGAATTTTCCATTCGAGCTTAGACTCTCTTCCCCCCCCCCTTGAATATGGAATTAAAGTAATGCAATTTCAGTCTTATATATAACATCTAAAGATCGGTAAAAATCAGGTCCTTACCTGGAAATAATTCCAGTTGAATTCCAGCGGGGAGAGTAGATGCAAGAGAACTGTGCTGTAACTTTATCCAGAAGAGCTATTTTTTTTTCATTGGAACCGTTTGCTCTAAGTAAACCTACCCATGGTGTAATGGGGTTACGTGGCAATAAGCTTTAACTACATAAGCATCCATTTAGAAAAAAAAAAGGTGTATTGGGTTTGCTGCAGAGGGCGTCACCCTATGTTGGGAGCTTGCCCTTACCTAATTCTCAGAAGTAAGACGGAAAGGAAAAGAAGAAACTTCCCGAGCGGAAGGTAGACTGTTAAAGCCCATCAGCGCGGGCACAAGGACGAACCATCCAACAAATCTGGAAGCAGCTGCGGGCTTCGCTTTAGCAACGTCACCTCCCTCCCCTCCAATCGCCGTCTTTCCCCCAGGAGAGCGGCACGCGCCGCTAAATCGCTTGCCGCAACACCGCGGGCGTCTTAACGACCGACTTGGCTCTAAAAAGGTTTAAAAAACAAAACAAAAACAAACAAACAAAAAACGGTGCGCGGGGTGGAAGAGACCCTGCATGATGTTGTCAGGAAAAAAACAACCCGCCAATCGGATTCTAGTTGAGTTTACGAGAACTCTTTTCTATTGGTTTAAATCAGGGGTAGTCAATCTTGGCTCTTTTATGACTCGTGGACTTCAACTCCCAGAATTCCTGAGCCAGCTAAGCTGGCTCAGGAATTCTGGGAATTGAAGTCCACGAGTCATAAAAGAGCCAAGGTTGACTACCCCTGGTTTAAATGGTCACATGCTTCGTTCTTTCCTTTTCCTTTGAATGGAGACGTTGCCGGGTGAAAGTAACTGGGGTGTTGAGCGGAAGTGCCGTCGCTCCCTTTGGTGCGGATTTGGTGTGGAGGTTTGAATTACGAGCAGGAGAGCTCAGATTGCAATTTTCTATTCCTATCCTTGGGAATATGGGTGTTACTAAGCTCACGGGAGCTTTCTTTGAGTAACTATAAAAGTTGCACTGAATGCTGGTCGCGGGTGGATTTTCTTTTAGCGTTCTCCCTTAGCTTTTGAAATAGCCCCATACCCCCCATTCCCTTTCCTTGCGGAATTACTGGTTTTGAATAGTTGCTTCGGCGAGCAGAAGTTAAGCCGTTGAAACCAAGTAACTATTAAAGGCAGAATGTCTGTTTCATGCAAAAAAAATTGGCAATCTAAAGGAGATAAGGTTACATTGTATGCATTTGTGTATGTGTGGATATGTGCACACACATATTAATATCATAGATATTAATTGTGGAAATTATTAAAACAGTGAAAATTACAATGATGTTGTTGCAGGGATGTGACTATCCAGCTAAAGTTGTTTCTCTGACAATCTAAGTCATGCAGAACATCAATTTTCAATAAGGATAAATAAAGTGATATGACAATTGTTGAGGTTCATGCTACCTTGAAAGTTTAAAAAGCAACAGACTATTGAGAGTATGATATACTGCAGTTGTGTACCTGTTCTGACATATGACTAATGCCCTTAACAACAACAGTATACTTTGTGTTCACACAATAGGCTCTATTATCACTATTTTTAAATCCAGATTAAATATTCTATTTGTCCATTCCTAATTAGTGGCAAGTAAGCAGATCAAATACATAAGGGGAAATTTGCAAAGCTGATTTGCATATTTAAATGTTGTGATCACTGTGGACAACAATCTTACTCTTCAAACAATTGAGAAAATCATGATATATTTAAAAAGCTATAAGACCTGGTATACTTTCTTAACTTATTTTCTCTGCTGCTAATATATTGAATATATTTGAAAGTCATATATATCTTGAATAAGAAGTAAGTGAATTGGATTTATTTTAAGCAAATGCCTATCAATGAAATAGATCCTGAAACTAAAAATTGTAGATATATAATTAATAATTATATAATAGCTAATTAATATCTTCAATTAAAAGATATTTCAATGTGACATACATATTATTAGTATTTACGTTAAATATATAATTATTTTTCTTGATATAAAAGATTTAGATGGAGTTTAAAATTGAACATACATGGAACAGCCTTCCAGTGTCCCATGATCCAATAATAATCAGCCTGAGTCCAGAAAATACAGGAATACTGATGGAATTGAATGCTCCATTTTTCAATGATCCTCCAGCCCCTCCTGGTGAACCAGGAAAACCATTCAATGGATTATGGGTCTATGAGGGTAAGTAAACTTATTGTATTAAGACTTAAAATTTTGAATATTCTGATAGCAATTCTTGCCTAGAGGTTCATTTTTTTTCTGTTTTTATTGGTACACACTGTAGCAAAATGCCGATGTGCCAAGTGTTCCTACTTGGGGTGCCTATAGACCATTTTGTTTTCAGCATTTCTTTGCTACTGGCTTAGCTATATAAGGATTTACATTTTTCACAGAGCCCAAACCCTGAATTTAACTTGAAAGACACAATATATAAATTCTACTGATGGTCCTATTGCTTTTGCCTCTGAACATTGTAAACCTATAATGTCTAACCATAAACTATGGCAGCGATTAAAATCTTCCACTTCTTTCTGAACATAAATATTCAGGTTCCATAATCAAATATAAAGTGGCCAAAAGATATAGTTCTATCAATAAGACTTAATATCTTTGGTGAATCAATTTTCAGGTTTTTAATAAAAACACTTGTCAGTTTTATATCTAGCCTTTTCATATGATGAAACTATGTTGTTTGCATAGCACTTCTGCACTTCTGTCTGTTTTTTAGCAAACCACTCTCTGCTATTTGAACCCTCCCATCTTTCATACTAGATAAATGAATTTGCAGAAATACTTGGTCAAAATAGATTTTATGTTATTAATGAGACCTCGAACTGCTCAGCATATTGCTGGGTCTTTAGTTTACTGACTTCCATGCTGGTGTCAAAAGTTTTTAAAAATGATTTTGATAAATCTAGTATCTTAAATATTTGTATATTCATATGCAAATCTGCAAATATGCTGTTAGAATTTTAATGCAACTTAATTTTCTCTTGTAAGTCATATATTACTACTTACACATGCTTTTCTGATCTTACCAAGATAACCATTACCCTCTTGAAGTAAGTTTCATAAATTAGCCTATTATCTGTCTTCATTATCATTCCCCTTTCTTCATTATGACTGTTCAAATTAATTAGTATTTGAAATGTTTTGCCTGAACAGAAATATTACTGTGAAGTGAAACTGATTTGTTTAATTGGCTGTTTGATTTTTCCATTTGATGTTTCTCTAATGCCACTGAAATTGAATTGTTTTATCCTGAACATATGTCTTTTCACTTTACACCATTGTTTTGCAAAAAAACAAAACAAAAAACCAAAAAAATTAAAGGGATATGCAACCACTTCAGCATCTACGTGTACATTTTTTTAAAAAAAAAATGCTTATCAGTTGAAGACAGATCTCAGCTGGTAGTGCATTTTATGAGCTCTAAATTGGATTGTGTTGAGACATATATTTCCAGAACTTCAAATAGGGATTTAAAAGTTAACATCGTATGAGTGCCAAGTGGGAGTCTGCATGAAGAAGTTGCACATTGTGAAATAAATATCTTGTGGAAGCCATTTGGATAGACTTGTCCTTAATTTTTCACCCTAATTACATTAAAATGCAGTATTATGATCTCCAAGTAGTTATTTTTCATACATAGTTTTAAAACAGTGATGACTATGATAAAGCATATCCAATGTCTCTGATAGAAGCTTGTACAGTTAGTTTGTTTTCTGAATAAGGCTAAAATAGGCTTCTGGAAAAGATTTTGCAGGATTTTGCATCTTTTGTGTGTGTGTGTGTGCACGCCTTTGAGTCAGTGTTGACTCTTGGAGAATTCTTGGATTAATCCCTGCAAGATTTTGAAAGTTTCTTGGCTTCTTCCCTAGGACTGAGAGAGGGTCACTGGCACAAGATTATCCAGTTGGGTTCATGCCTAAAGCAGGAATGAAATCAGACTCTCCCAGTTTTTAAACTAATGCCTTAACTATTACACCAGACTAGCTCTTACTTTTGCATCATTAGGGTAGGTAAAATAAGACCACAGTTATGGATGTTGTATTCAATGTTCTTTGTGTCTATATGAAATATACAAGGTAAAATGAACAACTGTTATATGGTTTTAGTTGTAGAAGCCTTCTTCTTGAATTACCAAACCCAGCAATACCTGGAAGTAGAGCTCTGCCCGTAAGTAGATATTTCAAATAATTTTTAGAATGTTCTATAGCAGTGGTTCTCAACCTGCGATCCGTGGACCCCTGAGAGGCCATGATGTCTCACAGGGGGTCCACGAACGCTTGAAGAAATGTTATGATTTAAATCTTGAATTAAGTCTTGGTGTTCTGTGGCCATGGTTTGTGACCACAAAAGGTATTTAAAGAGGGTCCGTGGTGAACAAAAGGTTGAGAACCACTGTTCTACAATAATTACTTAAGCAGTTTTTCGTTACAGTCATGTTGTTTTTTTATATATAGCGTCTTGACTGCTGGCAACTGCCTGGACAAGTTCATGCAGTTTTCTTGGGAAGATTTTAGAAGTGGTTTGTCCTTGCCTCCTTCTCGAGCTGAGAGAATGGACACCCATTCGAGCTGGCTCAAGGACACCCAAGTGGCTTCATGCCCAAATCAGGGACTAGAACTCATCATCTGCCAGCTTCTAGCCCATCTCCTGCTTTCGAGCCTGGTACTTTAACTACTACACCAAATTGGCTTACATTTTTTAAATTGTGTGTGTATCTCTGTCTTCAGATACCTATGTATACATACATACATACATACACCATATGGCTATACATTGCAGGAGAATTTACTAAAAGTAGTCCTGTATCTTTAATGTTTTCGCATTCATTATTAGCTGATGGCTGCTGTTTTGCATATTGACAGTACTATCTTCATGTAACATCTAATAAGTACACTCTGGCTGGAGATACAAAGCAAGTATTTTTCTGTTATCTTTATATTCTGCCGCAGGTTACCTTCT